TAGGGGTACCTTATTTTGGGGTCCTTATAATAAGGATCCTACTATTCAGGGTACTATATTAGGGTCCCCTATTTTCGGAATCCCCCTCCTGAGTCTTGTAAGCCATGTAAGACCTCATAGTTTGGAGCCGAGGTCAAAACCGCTACAAAGCCATTCAAAGACTTTTGGAGGTTTCTTTCAGGGCAGCGCCGGTTGAAAGATCCACGGACATCAGAACGCCTTCGTAGTGACACCAAGCTTAGCACTCAAACCCCGGCCCCAACAACAAGCACACTGTAGAAGGGGATGCCTCCTTGGGTTCTTGATTATACTTACACTCTAACATCCCCCGCAACCCCGCTCCAAATATTAAGGTGATATCAAGACATAGAAAGCCTCATGGTAATCCCTTAAAGGAACAAAGGAACCCTTAAACGGAGCCCGACTCTAATTATCTAAGTCTTATTGAGACCCCAATATCCCACCTTCAATCCAAACCCAAGTTCAAAATTCCCTAAACGCCCTTAGCCAAAACAGGATATACTAAACACCCGAGCCAGGCTCTAGTTATTACTGTCAGGCCACTAGAGTCACTAGAAACTGCCCCTAAACCCTAAACCCTAAACCCCAAACCCTAAACCGTAAACCCTAAACCCTAAACCCTAAACCCTAAACCCTAAACCCTAAACCCCCTTCCCCGAGTTCGAACTACCGGGGCCTGCCCAGCGAGAATGACGACGGGGACTCGCCGGAGGCCCCCCTGTTCTTTCTTCTCAAATGGGTAGTTCTCCCAAAAAAAAGGTCCCTTTTGGGGTCCCTGTTTATAAGGGTGCCGTACTATGTTGGGGGCCTTTCTTCTCAAATGGCTAGATATGGGTAGTTCTCTAAATTAGGGTCCCTTTTGGAGTCCCTGTTTATAAGGGTGCCGTACTTTGCTGGCGGCCTAAAAGGGGATCCAATTTTAACGAACTACCCAAATGGCTAGATATGGGTAGTTCTCAAAATTAGGGTTCCTTTTAGGGGCAGGCGCCGTCGCGCACGCCACTTTTCACGGCCGTCTCTATGGTGGACTATGCTGTCACGCATCTTCTGTTGGCTGCTAAGGCTGATCCGGCCAGAGACGCTGGGACCTTGACCGCGCTAGTGCAGCGGGCGGTCCTCCCTGGCCTGCCGGCCGTCCTTCTTCGAGCAGCGAAAGCTCGCCTGGCACGGCCGGATAGAGTTGAAGTAGCGAAGGCCTTGCTCCCATACCTCCTCGCGGAGGGTGATTGGGCGGGCATATTGATGCTGGTTTTTCCATGTTCTGAGACAGTGCAAGCAGCAAGCAATGTGCCAGCTGTGTTGCAGGTAGTCTACCATTTCAGTCCGCCACACCCGAGGAGACTTATGTCAAGGCTTGTGGCCGTCATGGTCATGATGGCACATTCAATGCTGTGCAAGTAGCTCTGATTTTGGGAGTGGGGGCTGTTTGACTAGCTGGCTCTTCTTGTGGGGCAGGTCCAGCAAGGCATCAATGCAGTCGTGTTCCCAAAGGAGCTCAAGGGCGATGTGGAGCTCTTGGTCCAGAGCTCAGCAATGAAGCAATGGCAGTAATGGCAGCGTTCCTAGACTCCTAGGGCCCTAGTTCTGAGCTGTCGCCTGCGGGCGAGACTCCCTAGTTCTCATGTTCACGTAGGTTTCGCTCGCATCTTCATCCTGCGAGAGCAGGTGAAAGGTCTCTGCAACAGCAACCCGGCGGAGCGACTGGCAATGAAGCCAGGAGGCCTGATGTCATTTTGACGGGCGAGTGTTCCGCGTTTTGACGCGAGACACGTCATGGTCATGCTGTTTCCTTGCCCTGCTTGGTTCCGTCTGGTCAGGCGTTCAGAACATCAAGACAGAGAAATGGTTTTCGTTGTTTTCGTGGAGCGCCATGGAAAGTCTCTCCATGAAGCCACCATTTGTGCGAGTCTCAAGTTCGCGTGAGCGTTCCAGTCAAGCGAGCAGACATGTGCAGACATGAGCTCCAGGTGCCGATGGTGAAATGCAAAACTGACCGGACAAATTTCCCCGACGAGGAGCAGACGGCTCCATACATGCCGTACAAGGATCCCAAGACCGGCTGGGACAAACACTTTGCCACCAGCAAGTGAGCTGGCCGCAGGCGCCGTGCCCGCCCTGGGCTGGGCTGTTGTGCACGAGGAACTACTGTAGTACATGAGCACAGTTAGAAAGCATGAGGAACTTAGTAACGTGCATGGCTCCGCTCGCCCACCATGTCACAAGCTCGCCTCGATCAAGGTGCTGTACGTGCTGACATGAGAATCAAGCCTCCGCCCCCATACGTGTCGATGGCTCCTGCAACCCATTCTTGACGACATGTTTGTGGCATGAGATCATGCAAAGTTTCACCAAGGGCTGCTTGTAGAGCTTCGGCTGAAGGCCTGCGGAGCGAAAGACTCCACCGCCCGGTGTGCACTGTTGCCTCAAAGCTAGGCTTGGTCGGAGAAGGCCGGGGCCAGGACAAAGTTCTTGGCATTTTCGCGTCTGGAGAAAGTCTTGAGTGACTACATCGGTACAGGGATTGATGATTGCTGCTTCCATGAGCAAATCATCAAATCATCGGTCTTGGGTATTCTTAGCTGTTTCACCTGGCTTTGTGCCCGGCTTGTCAATTGTTGAAGCAATGTAACACGTGCGAGAGTGTCAGCGCATGTCCTCGATGCATGCAGTCCTGGATCGGAGCTTGAAGTGCATCCGTGACAGTCCTTACCAAGCACCGCCAATGCGGGGACCAAGCCTCAATCAGAACTGCATCTTCTGCGTGCCGCAGGTTAGCCCAAGCCTTAAATGGCCCCGAAAGTCTGAAAAGTATGGTGGGTCCCCTTAAATGGCCCCAAAAGTCTGAAAAGTATGGTGGGTCCCCTTAAATGGCCCCGAAAGTCTGAAAAGTATGGTGGGTCGCCACGCGAAACTTTGATCAGAGTTTGACGCGAGAAAACAAACTTTGACATTTCAGGGCTCCGTCGTCCCTTGCGAAGCTCAAGAGGGTCCTTTCTATAAGGGTGCCGTACTATATTTGGGATCTAGAAACGGACCCTAGTTTAGAGAACTATCCATATAGATATAAGAATAAACATATATAGTTGTACAGATGTACCCACACATGCAACATGCATGTGTATATAGATACAAATACACAATACATACACATACATGTACGCATACATACATACATGCATACATACAGACATACATACATACATACATACATACATACATACATACATACATACACACATACATACATACATACATACATACATACATACATACGTGCATACTTACATA